CCATGGCAATGATAAATACGTCAGCTTAACTATCAAAAAAACAAAGTTTGTGTTGTTAACTTGCTTTCTGCCAGTTTTGGCGACCGAGAGATCAAGGGTTTTAGAGAAAATGGTGAAAGAAACACAGGTATCAAAACCTGTGTTCAGCCACCTTAAAGCATTTAATGTACCTGCACTGTTCATGCACCAAGAGATTGGAACCTAACACCCTATGAAATTTGGAAGTCTAACACCATCTTGAGTTTTAAAAGAGCACTTAAAGACATACTTGTGTACTAAATATATTCACAACAAACCATTATTTCTGTAGATTTGTATATATTGCTTTAGTTTCAATTTTTCTTTTTAATCATAGTGGATTTTAGCTATGTTTAAGTATCATATAATAGGATATGGTTGTAAATTTGTAAATATTTATTAATAATGTTTTTCATATGATTGTAAAGTCCCTTGAGCAAAGGATATGAGTGCTATATTAATAAAGTTAGTATAATATTATTATTACCTACGACCACTTATTCTAGTGTTACCAGGAGTCTACTGAAATTAAAAAGAACTGCCTCTGGACCAGATGGAATCCCGTACTGGTTTTGGAAAGAGTTTGTGTATGACCTCGCTCCTGTTGTTGCCCATATTTTCAACTGTTCTTTGGAAAACCACATTGTACCTGATCTTTGGAAGTTGGCCGACATAACTCCCTTGCCTAAAGAGCCCAACTTTTAAAATTGTACACAGTTGCGACTTATTTCGCTGACTAATGTAATAATGAGGGTTTTTGAACGTCTTGTATACAGACAAGAATTATCTCAATATATGAATAACTTCATTAGCTTCAACCAGTTTGCATACCGCAAAGGCCACAATACGACTATGGCCTTAATTAAGTGTCGATGTGCTTGGCTGAAATGGCTTGAGTCGTGTTTTGATTGTGTTAGAATTTTCTCTTTTGATTTCAGCAAAGCTTTTGATTTGGTCCCTCATGATATCCTCTGCTCTAAGTTGAAAACACTTGACATAAATCCATACGTGACCAATTGGATTATTAGTTTTTTACAGAACAGAAAACAAAGAGTTGTTGTTGCCATTGTTACGGATTATTTAAATATCAATAGGGGTGTCCCTCAGGGGACAGTTTTAGGCCCTATACTATTTTCTATTATGGTCAACGATCATCGCATGGACATCTGCTAACTGTATGCAACTAAACTTCAAGAAAACATGGGAGATGCTTCTTATAGGCAAATCCACTACGGCATTACCTGCTCCTCTGGTTTCTATAGAGCGTAAACCATGTCTGAAGTTGTTGGGTGTAATTTTTCAATCTGATCCATGTAACTGGAATTTACATTTTGATAATATTATATCAAAAGCCAGTAGTCGTCTGTACATCTTACATGTTTGTAAATTCTATGGACTGCTGCTGGATCATCTTCATCTTCTTTTTATCAGTCTTATTCTACCTATATTTGACATATGCTGTAGAAGTATGGGGCTGCGTGTATTATCATAAGTATCTGAGTCGCATAGACAGGCTGTTCAAGAGAGCTTTTAAGCTTGGTTACTGTAAAGAGCTTTTTTCGATTGAAAATATTATTATTCTAAAAGATAAGAAGTTGTGGGCCAAGATCACCGACAGCGATTTTACAACAACTTTAGATGACCTTTTGCCACCAGAGCGACCAATGGTTATGTGACGTAAGAGGCGCCATAATTATATTCTCCCGCTTGTTAGAACTGAACGTTTCAAGAGGACTTTTGTTAATAGATGTTTGTTCTCTTATTAGTTAGTCAGTTAGTAATTTAGTTAGTTAATTAGTTTTATACTTGCTGAGTTCATATCATTGTAACTAAACACGTTTGTTGTTTAGAGTGCTTAATAAAGACTTTTCTTATTATTATTATTACTTTATGTTGAAGGCAATCATGGAAGAAGCTAACAGATGTGGAGGTGACTTGGCCAAGCTAAAGGACATTCTTAGCTCCATCCTGCTCATTTGTAAAGTGTTCTACAGTCTTAATTTTCAGGTGATAATAAATGGTTTTGAAGGGACCCTCCTGTTAAAATGGTTTTATTTTGAAAATCTTCCTTCTGAAACATTTTCATTTGATTAGATCTTTACTTCCTGTAGCGATGGATGTTTACTGGTACTTCAAATCCCTTGTATTCTTATTCTTCATATGCAATAATGAAAGTGAATCTTTATTTACTAGTACCTTCAAAGTTTACTCTAGATGTTTTTTTTATCTGACTTGTAGAAATGTTATTTCAAATTTTAACTGACTGTTGAAATGAATGTTGCAGGACTTGCCTGAACACTTTGACGAAAACATGGAAAAGTGGATGAAAAACTTTCTCATTCTTCTAACAACAGACAGCAAGCAGCTACAAGTTGAGGTTATTGTTAGTTGGTTTGTTTCATTTTGTTACAAGACAACAGTGGAATGGAATTGTTCTCTTGGGATACCTCTATTCAGTGCCTACTAATTTTTGAAATGCTGAAACAAAAAGTGGCCTCCATTGGCAGGACAGCTCTTTGCAAGGCTCCTACATCACTTTCATTAAATTATAACTTACAAACAGTCAGAGGAATTAGAAATTTTTTCGTTACCTTTAGAGGACCACTACCTCTTGGTGGTCACATCTTTGAATGCACCTGTTGCAGTGATTAGATCCTTATAAAATTGTAGAATGGCGTAGTAGCAAAGAAAATCTAAAATAAACTTGGATTGCCAAAATCGAATAAGATTATAGTGAACTGGAATTCTGTAAGAAGAATAGATGCTTGAGTTTATATCAAATTGTATAAATTGCAATTGTTATTTATACTGCTCAGAAATCTTTTTAAAAAAAATTACAGAAACAGACAAAATCAACAGACTATCAATTCATATCTTTTTTAATGTAGTAAGGTTTTTTTTGTTTAATTGTGTAGGACACAGAGGAAGCTGGTCCATTAGATCTAATTAAGTCACAAATCTGTGACAATGTAGCTTTGTATGCTCAAAAGTATGATGAAGATTTTGAGGTAGGAGAATTTGCTTATTAATGATAAATTAATTGTTGACTACGTAGTTGTTAAAAGCAATGCTGAAATTACTTCATTTGTCTCGTACTATAATTTCATTGCTTTTTGTGGTGAATAAATGTGATATTATCTGTACTGCTATATCCACAAAGAGACAGACATACAGACAGAAGTCTGACAAAGGGCTGACACTCGAAACATCATCGTTTTAACTCTTTACGGTGCCAATTTACAATTTCAACTTACTTGATATTACTAAATGACCTTGTTACCCCCACCGACACAGCACCACAGTTTCTTTAGAAACTGACCCCTTTATGCAGACAGATGGATCGGCTTAATGCTTTCTCCTAAGATTCTGCACTAGTAAAACCCCTTGTTGTGCCAATTCCTGCAAAGCACTCTTAAAAAATCTCTAAAACAAATATTAAAAATCAAATTATTTTCCATTTAAAAGTACCAAGCTTATAAATTGAGATAATTCCTGTCTTCTACTTTCATTAATTTGTTGCAGAACTACTTGCCAAAGTTTGTGGAAGCTATTTGGAACCTGCTTGTGAGCACGGAGAAAACAGCAAAACATGACATTGTAAGTGTGATTGTCACCAATGAAATTAGTTCAAGCTCTACTTGAAAACTGAATTAAATTAATTGATGTCTGTCAAACCCACAAAAACATGTGCACATTTGATAAGTGTTAATGTAGATAAACAAAGAAAAGAGCATACAGGAGGTATGATAGGCCAAATTTTTTTTCTCACACTTTAAGGGTTTGAGGTGTGGTTGGGTTCAGAGAAGGTGATCTAGGATGCTGAAGTAACCAATGGAATGACATTTGGTCACTGAGTACTTTTTGTTTTGCAGGTTATTAGTAATGCTATTGGATTTTTGGCATCAGCAGCAGAGAGAAATCAATATAAATATCTCTTTGAAAAACAAGAAACCTTAGAAAGTATATGTGCAAATGTTGTTTTACCGAATGTGGAATTTAGAGGTAAATTTTGACTGTATTCTGTGTTGTTTTATAACATTCGTAGTTGTTTTTGCTTTGTTATGTTGGTGGTTTGGTATTGTAGAAATTTATAGGGTAATGATATTTCAGTCTGTGTTTTCTTTGTGATGGAATGTTCAGTATTGGCAGTATTATTAACTTGTCTTTAATTTTCATCAGAGGAAGATGAAGAAGTGTTTGAAGACAATCCAGAAGAGTACATCAGAAGAGACATCGAGGGCTCAGGTTTCAAACAAATTTCGCCTTTTATTCAGAGTGATCTATATTCTATCATTATTATCATACCTTTAATTTCTGTGGTAATTAAAGCTCTAACCCCAGCCCAAAAAAAAGTTTGGTCGTTAAAAATGATTGTGTGTTACTCAACTTCCTATTTTGCCTCTCAGTGTTGGTGTATTGAAGTTACTAAAAAAGAAACTGATTTAAGGGTCTACCCTTTAAGCAGATCTTAGTGAACAAGGAACACCACGAATAAGTGAACTATTCTAATTGAATTGTTGAAAAATTCTAAAGCCTGGGAGGCAAGCCAAGTTGACTAGCAAAGGAAAGGAAAGATTTGAAACTGGGAGCTGCAGTTTTCAAATCAAGAGCACTAAAGCAGTAGTAGTAATTGAAAAAATTCTTACAACAATAAAGTTATATTTACTGCGAGGATCGTGCATCATATGTATCTAATACTGCAGTTCAAAATATATGAACTTCATATATTTCATTGTATCTGATTTATCACTTTCACGGGTTTATTACGAATCAACTTAACGGCCTGCTCCCAGTTGGCTTGTTAGCTCAATTGGTAGAGCGCTGCACTAGTATCGCAGAGGTCAGTGGTTCGAATCCCGTACAGGCCTGATTTTTTTCAGGTCTGATTTTCGCTATTGCTTAAATAGCACTATCTACTGCGAGGATCGTGCATCATATATGTAAAGTTATTCGTGTGGATTTTTTTTAGATGTAGACACCAGGCGTCGTGCAGCCTCTGATCTTGTACGTGGACTATGCAAATTCCATGAGCAACGTGTCATTGAAATATTCTCTGGCCATGTTGTGTCTATGCTACAGGTAACAGCATTATACTCTGATTCCTGAGTTTAAAGAATCAACCTAAAACCAAAAACTCTTGTAAGATCCATTGTCTTCAACCTTGAACTTTTAGATCAGAATGTTTGATAAGGCCTTTACCAAGAGAATGTGTGTTTGTAATGAAAGGACTTAGCTGGCCTTGTAAGTTATTTATCAGTCTCAGTAAGAGGTACACGTTTAAGGCTGATGTGATACTGTTATTACTGCCAGGGGGGACTAAATCTGACAAGCACGATTTTAACATGGTGTAACTTTGAGCTAATCTGCATGGGGATACTTTCCAGAACATCTCGGCTGCTGCTTACCCACTTTGTCAATTGAAAACCACCACGGTGCAGCAAGTTGCACAATTCATGAACGTGGGCGATAGCAACTATGACTGACGGAAGGGACTTTAAACAGTCGTCCACATAAAAGTTGCGTCTGACAGTATTTATCATGTCACAGGAGAAGTGTTGCTCATTATCATCCGTCGTTTTCCGAAGGATGAACTTGGCACAGGCTGGTGATGACACTGCACCAAAAAGATGAACAGTCATCTGATATTCCGCCAAAGCACGTGATAGGTCACCATCTGGCCACCACAGAAAACGAAGAAATGAACAGTCGCAATTGGGAACTCTCACCTGATGAAACATGGCTTCATTGTCTGCCATAACAGCGATGCACTCCTACGGGAATCTAATAAGGACGCCCAAGAGTGAGTTAGTAAGATCTGGACCTTTTATCAGCTGGTCATTGAGAGAATTTCCTTTGTGATTTGCCGAGCAATTGAAAACCACCCAAATTTTCCTAGGCTTATGTGGGTGGTAAATTCCATGGTGGGGGATGAACCATGTCTTGCCTTTGTAGCTTGCCCCCCTTTGGTGATCAGGTACTCTTTGGGCATATCCTTTGGCTAGAATGTCTTGTATGAAGATCTTGTAGTCACCATGAAACATTGGGTTCTTCTCTAACTTCTTCTTTAACGACATGGCATGCTGTTCTGCCTGGACATGGTTGCTTGGAACTGGACGTTGCCGATCTTTGAAGGGCATGACGATCTCATAATGACCATTCTTCAACTTTGAGGATTTCTTCATTCTTTCCATAAAACCGTGCTCTTCCTGGGATAACTCCATCTGTTTATCAGCAATTGACTCATTGAAGTCGCGATCGTAGAAATCCTTTACCAGCTGTTGTAGTTCGGTGTCGACTTTGATAAGAAAGCTTGATGCCTGGATGTCATGACGATGTGGAGTCAAGGGGCCAGTAACTGCCCATCCAACGCTTGTACACAAAGCGTAAGGTCCACCACCCTGGCTATGTTTTATCTCTAAGGGATCAAGGACTTCAGGAACATCACATGCTAAAAGTAGACCAACATCCGCATCGTCTCTGTGCAGGTGCACTCCGCTAAGGTTTGGCCATTTGTCCACGTAATCTTAAGTGGGTATGTCTTTACTTGACACTGGTATGCTGGGCCTTGGGAAAATTGTTGGAAGATGGACAAATACATTTTGTCCAAATCAGAAATGGTGAGACCAGTAATGACAAAACTATCCACAAGACTGTTCTTCTTTTCCAATGTAGTTAGAGATTGTGGTTTTTGTACCGTTCGTTCCTAGTTGTCTCATTAAGGCTTCCGTGCAGAACTTTGAGGAACTACCGCTGTCTAAAAAGGCATATGTGACTACTCGAGTTTCCCTTCCTTTATACCAAACTTTCACGGGAACAACGGCCATAGCTGTACTCGAAAAGCTTGCATCGGCCTGGGTTTTCCCATCAGGGTTTACCAATGCATTGTGAACGCGGGTTACTCCCTCGCAAGTCGACCTCGTTTTAGTGGATGGGCTGTTAACGTGCTGACTTCTAGTCACAGAGCTTGTGTGCAGAACCAAGGGATGTCTCCTGATGCAGTTGGGGAAAATGCAGGTTTTCTTTTCTGGGAAATTCCTTACTGTGTGATCATCCAACAGGCAACCAAAGCAGAGTTTCTTTTACTTTAAGAATTCTATTGTCTGCGTACGGATGGCTTCTTAGGGAACTACAGTTCTCCAAGGTGTGAACTGTGTTGCAACACAGACACGATGGTACTTCTACTGGACGATGTGAATCACGAGGGGTGGCAGTGTTGGCAGGTGCATTCTGGCCTCTGCTTACTTGTGCCGCGAAACTAAGCTCCCCTGGCCTTTTCGTTGCAAATCCTCTCTGTGAACAACTGTCATGCCTATCCAACTTGGGCTTCGAGTCCTCGACTATCCTTCCAAAGAAGGGATTAGTGTTGATTCTAGCTTCCTGATCCACGAACTTGACAAAATCTCGGAACTTAACCGATCTAGCCTCATCCTCCATTATGGTATCGACTGCACGGCGCCATCTTACTCTCGTACTGAAAGGCAGCTTTAGGACCAACCTCCTAATGACGTCTGGCTGTTCGAGCTTAGACAGGTGCACACTCCCCTCCAAGGCATTCTTACATCTTGTAAGGAAAAGAGAGAATCGATTCAGTCTGACCCCATCCTCTGCCTTCACTTCAGGCCAACTTGAGGCTTTGTTTTCATACACAGCCACAATAAGAAAATCGCCTCCAAATTTCTTCTTCATGAGCCGACGAGCTTCGAGGTATCTGTGATCAGGAGACAGGTACTGGCATGATTTAACAAGCTCCTTTACGTCCCCACTGGTAAACTGCTCGAGGTAGTATAGCCTCTCACTGCTACTCGATGTCTTGGACTCAATAATGTTTTCGAAAGCTCTAATGAAGGGACCGTACTCCTAAAAGTCGCCGTCAAACATACCCTAATTTCCAGCCGTTTACCAGCACCAGCTGATTATTGCATGCAGTGAAAAAAAAAGTCAACAGATTACCTGCACTTTAAAAGCAAAGGAAATTTGTACAATATGCTCTGCGAATTCATGGCCACAAATTTGGGTAAACGATTGTTCAGTGCCATGTTGATTTGTTGATTTCTCAAAAACATCGATATCTCCGGTTCTACTGGGCCTAACAAGTCCCTTAAAACGGGATATTTATTTTCAGCGGAGCCTAGTGTTAACTGGAAATTTGTTACTGATGCACCAGTTATCCTTGGTTTATTTTTGTCACCATCAAGGTTTTGTTTACACGTGTACCGATAGTAATTTGTTCATCACGCAACTAATTTGGCATGAAATAAACTCAAGTCGGCATCATGTTTTCGTGCTGCTTTGTGGCACTTTTGATACAATAAAATTCATCTGAGAGGTGGAAACACAGGTAGGCGAGAATTTTTTTTAATTCGACTGCCAGTAAATTTCAAAATTGTCACATAACCCGCACCTCCCTAATACCCGCAGTGGTGCGTGTTTAAAGCAAAATCAACAGATTACCCGCGGGTAAACAGCCGGAAATTACGGTAGGTACTCTGGGACGAGGAAGTAAACTTTTCCTCTGTTGTGTCACCACCATCTCCATGATCTTATTTTGTTGTTGTTGCAGTACATTCTGGTGCTGGTGTAGCTCCAACATCTCATTGAACACTCTTTTTGCTTGGTGAAGATTCATTTGAGCTATTCAATTCAGAACAGGGACTCTCAGTAGTAATGGCTTGCAGGCGCTGTTGCCATTCCGATGCTTCTGGGCTCAAGGTTGAATGAACTTGCGGGACTGGTAGTGACACAACTCTGTGTGCGTGGATTTCTGACATGGCAGAATTTGGAGCAACTTCCTGTGGCCTAGACTCTACTGCAACTGACTGCGGATATAGGTTCACGTTAACCTGATCTGCATCACCTAAACACAGGTCAGAATACAACGGACCAGGAGGGGCCATGCACGGCTTCGGGTCTATTACATTTGCTAAGGCCTGTTCTCTGGCTTGTGACTTGGCAATCTCCGTTTCCAAAGTTAAAATGCCTTTCTTCTTGCTTAAGACGGAACTTTTCTTCTAAAGACTGGCGCTGACTGAAGGCTGCTGCTTCTGCTCTTAACTCTACTACGCGAGCAGCCTCCTTTGCTCTCGCTGTCAGTAGAGATGAGGCACCACTCCTACGTGAAACACTGCTTCTACATGAACCACTACGACTAGAACCCCAAGATACTCTTGATGACTCAAAAGCTGACCGAGAACCAACCTCCAAGGCTGTGCTCTAAGGAAAATTGAATGGAGCCCAGTACTTTAAAACTGTGAATTCCAGGGTGCCCAGCATTTGCTTTGTATGAAAAAACTAAAATTCCTGAGTCGCCTGAGAGCAAAAGTAAGGTGCCAGGGGCCACCAGGTGCTGCTAGACCACAGTCTTGACCTGGCTAATTGAATCTTCTGGATTGACTTGAACATTGAACAAAGTCATCCTTTAGTACAGCTTTGCGATGGAAGGATTCCTGACATCTGGCTATGCAAGTCTCATCATGAATGGATGACAAGTACTGAATGTTTGCGTCTTTAAATTTCTGGAAAGCGACTATAAACTCCATAAATTTAACCTTCACACGGTCAATGTTCTGCACATCCGACAACAAGGCCTGGACTTCGCTTTTCTTGATGGTCACAGTTGAGAGAGCCTGATCTTAAATTCTTGAGATGAAGAAGCTTGCTGTACAGGGCATCTTCATCAAGTACTGACAT